ACTCTGTTTCTTCCAACAAATATTCTAAAAGTTTCAAAAATGTCTTCCATAGGCCTGGTATAAACCCATATTGAATGCCATATATTTATAAACAGACTGATTAGTAGATAGCTATAATAGCAGGTATAATTTGTATTGTCCTTGAAAAACAGTTCCACTCAGTTACTGATTTTATATCTAAATACAAAATGTAAAACACAGTTGTTTTAAAAGAACTGAATAAGACATAAACAATCAATTCTTGTGTGAAGACTTTTGCCTGTCAGAATGTGATGCCTCAAAGGCAGAGATGGCTCCTGCCAGTGTTTATCAATCTATTTGATACATCCTATATTCACAACTCAATATATAAAAATGATTAACATTATACCATACAAAAGCAATGGTGTGAGACCTCACAAATGTTACTTGTTCAAATATTGATATGTGTGTATATCTTCACACACAACAACCTCTGTGAATGACAAATATAAATACAAGAAATAAATTAAAAAGATCCCTTGGCAAAGAAATAAACCCTTTAATTCTCTTTGATTACCTATCTCCAAATATACACATAAATATCTGAGTTGTAATATGGCAACTCCCAGGGGGCAGGAAGGTGGCAAACTGGAGTGTAAAGTTAGGACAGTCCTGCAGAAATATTAACAAATGCTGCTGCCCAGGTTCCAGATCAGGAAAGCACATGAGACAGTTTACTCAAAAGACAAATGTACGAGAGACCCTGCTGTTTTAGTTACTTTGATATACTATTTCCCAGGCCAAGGAAACAGGTTTTTTGCTAGTAAAACTATACAACTATAAACATTAACTTTTAGAAGTCACATACATTTGATATGCTTTTTTGTGATGCAACTATGGTAGTTTTCTGATTTTACAAAAATATAAAGGGAAAGCTTGACTCAGTAAGTCTAGAGCACAAGCACCTACTTCTTAGAGAAGTGACTGCTGAGGGCACCATATTCCTCTTTTTGTTCTGATATGTTATATATGTCTCTACTATATGCAATGATAGAAACTGACATTCGGTGTTAGAAATAACTCCAATAGAACATTCTGAAATGCATGCCAGATCATTTTGCCATGACTGTCTCATGTGTAACAGCCAGCTACTAAACCAGGAGAGAGAAGTAGAATTAGGTCCAATTGTGAAGAAGTTGTAACATGTACAAGCCTTATGCAACATAACAGTCTGGATTCCCATACTTGGTTGATAGTAAATCAGGTTAGCTGATTATGTGACAGGACACATAGATCCTTCAGACTTTCTCTGTTGTGTGACAGAGATTGAAGGTTTTTTTTAATTATTTAAACTAAATACAAATTAAACAAATGCTGGTTGGTAAAAAGATTTATGTCCTGATAATTTTGGAATTTAATGTGCAAATGACTTGCTATCATTAAATGCCTTTGAAACAATATTAGAAGATTCCAGAAAAATAGAATTCAGTTCTTGTCCCATGATTTTTTTCACCCAAATTATTTTCACAATTTTTAAATTAAAGAAAACCACATCATTTCCCTCCTCCTACTAACTCGCCCCATATGCTCAATTATTCTCACGTTCATGGTGTCTTTTTCTTTTATTACCATTTAGTATTAAACAATGCTGCTCTTAAGAAGAGGCTAGTGCATGATCAGTAGAGACTGTCTTTAAAAAGAGCAACACAGTCTGCTAAACACACAGCCTGGCTTTGCAACTGTAGCCATCCTTTCCCATCAGCCTCCAAACCGGCGATCAACTGGACTGTACCAACCAGAGCTGGCTCCATACCATATAAATGAGCTTTTGGCCAGGTTTGGTGCTGCAAGCCTTTAATCTCCAAATTTAGGAAACAGGTGTGTGAAACTCTATCGAGTCCAAGGCCACCCCGGTCTACATCAGGCAGCAGGGCTAAGTAGTGAAACCATGTCTCAAACAAAAACAAAATAAAATGAACTTTGGTTTCTCTCCCACAGCATTCCTGAGTCATGCAAGTATCTGAATGGGTTGCTTCTCAGTTTTAGCTTCCTTATGTGCAGGGAAATGAGAGCACTGGTATCTAGGCATCACAGTAAGCAGGAACCTGGCATGTTGATGCTGTCTTTGTACACACTCAGTGAACAGAGCTTGGCACAGAATCAGCACAGAGGCACCTATCTGGTGCTTTCCTTTTTCTCTCCTCTTCTTCTTTGCTTATTATTTCTTGTGGGTTCTCTACTTGTAGCCATTAGATGCCCAATACCACTCAGACAAATCTCCAGAGGAAATTCATGTCAGTTTCAAAATGTTTGCTTTCCCCCATTTTGCTGTCACTGGTAGCCATCTACTGAGGTGTCCATCTATTACCTTCCTTATTTCTTTCCGCCTCCTAAATACTTCAAACAAACCCCAGTCAGTAAGTCTCTCAGGCACTATCCTTTCCCAACTTTCACTGCACTCAGATTTCTTCATGTTTGGATAATGTTCAAATGGAATTCTCACAGAAAGCCCATGTAGATGCTATAATCAAGTGACTGTAGAACATCAAAAGCACTGCAATGTCCCAAGATGTTAGGAGAAAATATGAAAAGACAGGTCATAATCTACAACCTTCTCAAAGGCTTTAATTTTTTAATTTTACTAATACTAGAATAATTTTTAACTGACCTTTTCATTTTTAAAATTTCTGCCTAAAAAACCTAAAGATTGTCAAACAAGGACCACGCTGCACCCCCACATCTGTATCACCTATGCCTGTCTAAATAAGCTAGACTCTTCCTTTAAAAAGAACATCTGGAACAACGTATAATTTTTGAGTGAAAAGAAAAACACTATCATTACAGGAACTGTTCCCAAGATAATGTATTTCAAGTGCCGTCCATTGAGCACAGGAAAAGATCACAGGGTAAATTTGTTACTAACTTTATACCTAAGTATTAGTGAAGTAAATAAACAAGTATTTATTTACTGATTGAGTGAACCTCCATGAAACTACATTATTCACAGATTACATTTTTCTGACTCATACTTACATGAGCTTTCACACTAACTTCACTGCTTTCCTTAGTCCATATCTGTCCACACCCTACCTGTGAACTTAATACCGCCAAGCCCTCTCCCACCTCTGCCTTCACCAGCTGTTCTGTAGTTAGAGACACTTCATTTCTTCCATTCTAATCTTCAAAACCTCTCATCCTGCGTGGCTCTACAGTGTGCTTTGGGGTAAGGAGCCAATAACTAGTAGTCAGGAGTCTTAAGTTATAGTACTGTCTCAGCCATTTCTTTACTATAAAAACTTAGTAGGCCATTTAATATTCCTTAATTTTTATTTCTATCCGTGAAACAAAGGAATGTGGCCAGGTGATAACTGTTAAAAAAATAATAATGGAGAAAGCTGAAGTCTGAGATTTTGATAGTGTTGGCTAAGCACCTGACCTTTACTTCCCCCAAGATCACTGTAAAAAATTAACTCAGGGTTGTACTGAGTAGGTTCTGCACCAGTTCCTTTTATCCAGAGTAAGGAGGCAGGTTAATATCCTGTTTCCAGAACAATGAGGTTGGGGGAGCCACAGTGCCTTTGAAGTTTAAGGACTTCCATAAAGATACAAAACAAAGCTCCTTATACTTAACAGAAAAGCTAATCAAAGATGTTTAAAATTACAAACACTTGGGGCTGAGGAGATGTCTCAGTGATTAAGAGCACAGGCTGCTCTTCCATTGGTCCTGAGTTCAATTTCCAGCACCCACATGGTGGCTCGCAATCTGTAATGAGATCTGGCGCCCTCTTCTGGCGTGAAGGCATACATGGAGACAGAACTCTGTATGTATAATAAAGAAATAAATCTTTAAAAAAAATACAAACACTCTGTGGGAAAATTGGAGACAATGGAAAGATCAAATGCCCATGAAGAGGTGCTGGGCATACTTTTCTACATCCTTCAACATCAAAGTTGAATTAGGTTATCTTTGCCTAAGTATATCATTTGCTTTGAGTTCTACCTTTACTGTTCTTCACCAAGTTAAGCTCTTGATTTGCCTAGACTTTGCATATCCTCCAAACACCAGAGAACTTGCACTGGTTTATACTAGTGAGTCAGTAGTTCCCTCAGCTATTTAGGAACCAGGGAGCCTGCATTTATCTGTGCATTTCCTTTTCTCATTCCTCACTTTCCCTCCAAGAACCACAGTGAAAGAAGATCTTTATAAACAAGCTAATTTATATCATCATATCATCCCACATACAGAGAAAGCAATTACACATTATATGGAAAGAAACAAAGTAATAATTTTATAAAATCTAAGTTGGACTGACTATATTAACCTATATATTTTCTATTCATTTGTATTACTGAAATTCTGCTGCAATATAGAACACAAAAGGAGTCTCAAAGTGTACCCAGCATTCTCTTATTAATAGGAGCCTACTACCTACTCCATATGATGGGATAAAGACTGATATTCTAAAGTGAGTTTCAGGTACAGAGTGAGTAATACAGTACTTTTAGCACTAAATATATTTTGATACATAACACTTTCAAACATAACAAACAATATTTAGGTGGTTATTCCTATTGTTTCAAATAAGTCATATCCTAACTATGTTTTCACAGATTAATATTTCCTAATTTCCTTAATAGTTTGTAATTATAGTAATAAAACCTATTTGGAAAAGTTTCAGCACAAAAGGGAATATACTACGTTATACACCTCGAAGTGAGACATATTGTACAAGTGGGACCACGGTATTACTATTCCCACAAAAACATGCAATGAGAAAAGAGTAGACACTTAAATAAGATGAATCACAATATGCAGAATGGAAAAGCTACTACAAGCACATTCACTTGTATAGACTACAAAAGAGCAGCTTTGGAAAGCACATAACACCCAAGGGACAAGAGACAAGCAGCTCATCTTAAAAAAAAAAACCCAAAAAACATAGCTATGGCAGGTTCAAAATTATTAGTGGTTAGCTTAAAAAAAAATCAAAGCAACACAACAAAATAGCAAAGGACAAAAGTCAAAACAGGTGACTTACAGGGAGTCTTCTCCAGGGCGTCTGGGTGTATTTATCAGCATATGTACACTTTTCCTCTTTAGATTTCTGATGACAGTTACACCGGGTGGCCTGAACAAAACCACAAATGTTTAAAATGGTTTTATTCTACATATACACACAGGCAGTTAGAGGCTGTGTTAAGAAGAACAAGCCATGTCACCAAGCTGCACAGTGCAATGCAGTTCTCCTTCCATGACAGACATGCCTACACCAAACATCAAGGTGTACTCAGTTGACTTCCCTTTTTCAGGGACTAGATTTGAGATAAAGTCAGAAAACTACAATATTTCTCCTGACAATCTTTTAAACTGTCTGAAAAACTCAGTATATACAATTTCATGCATATAAAAATATATATCACTTAAATGTAGAATATATGCAACAATTAAAGGCATAAAAAGAATACTTCTAAAAAATTTTATTTCTTTTTTTGATTTACTTTGATCTTGTTGTAAAGTATTGCCCTCCACCCTAACTGCCATGACATTCATCAGATCTTCATCAGATGTAACTACTTGCAAGAGAACATTATCAATTAGGCCTGATGACCTTCTTTCGTTAAGATGGGGTAAAGGTTTCAATAACTCACCTGAGATTCTAGTCACTCTTTCCTGTGCCCTCCAGCCAGCTATATCTACTTCTGCCCTAATGACTGTGGCCCTGTGATCATAGGGAGTGCCAGAGTTTATGTTCTGTAGGGCAGGAGAACTCCATCTATGCAGCTACAGGATGAGAATTCCTAGTGGCTGAGTGCTTTGGGCTCACCCATGCTCCTTTTAACAGCCCATGCTCTGAAAGTAAATGCAGATGGACTTCGGTGGCACTGCACTTGTTTGGTGACGGTGCTTTATAAGGAAGCGTGTGTCTCTTTCTACCTCTCCATCAGCAGCAAGCACTAAGGACTTCCTTAGATGGCTCTATGACAGAACTCCACTGGGCATTAAATACAAAGAGCCCACATGCTGTGTCTATTTGTTCCTCTGTGCGATGCTACAAAGCCTCTTGGATGATCTTTACTGTACTGAACACTATCAGTTGAAAAATAAATTCTCTACACAATTCTTATCAACCGCCTTTGACCCTATTTAACCATACCCGATTTGTCTGCTCCTATCATTTCTGAGTTGGATGCCTGTAATATGACCTTAGTGGCTCAGAGTTCACTAGGCTGTATCCTTGACATTCTCAATCAAAGTATATTTTATAAAGCTGAATTTGCTGTTAATGTTGTTTGACTTTGACTAAATATTCCTTTAATTTTTGATTTTATCCAGTATGTTCATTTTAGCCTAGCCTTTTAATTATTACAAACTATCCTATAACTGAATTCAAGGCACTATATAAACAATTTTCTCATAAACATTTGAAATCATAACAATTAGAAAACTATGAAGAGTCAGTCAACCCTAACTCTGAGGAATCAATTATTATCATTCACAGAGATGAAGCATTTCCCTAGAATCCCTTTCAATATAACACAAGACTCAAGGCCAAGCACTTAAAGGTGTCACTCTACTTACAAAGAGAAAAGTCCCAGGTACTGTTTCTCAAAACATGTCTGAAAGAAAGGCATTTACTTTGCACCAATAAACAAAAGTAAATAAAATTGAGAATTTTAAATCCCCACAAAAGAGGATAATGAACCAACACAGAATCATTCACGTGAATACTTTATATTTTATGTCAAGGTTCCATCACATCCTTTAAGTGGAACACATGTACTCTAAACACACTACATGAAACTCTGAAAACCAGAACAGAAGCAAGCTCTTTTTCTGCCCAGTTTTAAAAGCAAACACAACTCCTCCATGAAGAGCCTGTTTACAGTCCATGTTGTAATACTTACAAGTCGATGCTCTAATAGTTGGATTTTTTCATCTTTTTTCTTTATATCCTCTTTAAGTTGTTTTATTTCATTTAATAAATCTTCATTCTGAAATATGAAAAAGTACTGTTACATAAAATATTCTAATGAGAAGAAAAAAGTCAATGAAGTCAAATAATGAATGGATTATTTGTTCATCTAAGAGGAATTCTACTAAAATTTTAGAAAGATTTCATGGATTTCATGATCTAATGGCAACTGACATGCAAACAATGGGCAAAAATGGAAGTAATAGTCACCAAGTTCTCATTTGAATTAGCATTTATGCTGATCTTGGCTACACAGAGATATATGCTGTTATTCGTTTGCATTAGCATAATAAAAAAACTAGGCCAAAGGTCATACAGTAAAGGAAATCACCATGCAAAACTAACTTCAACTAAAATTTCAAAGAACACTTACAAGCAGCCTGTCAGAAAATATCAAGTGCAGGGCAGACAAAAAGAACGTTGAAATTAATGTCAGCATAAATTTCAGATTGGCTCAGAAGTCAGCAACAAATAAATATGCCAGACGAGTACCAGGGAGTGTTCTGCAATGAGCCACTTTCCTGACAAGCACTGACCGAATTAAAGTGAAAGGCACCAACCAAGTTCACCACCCAGACATATTCAATACTATAAAATGGAAGCTCTTGTTGAGTTAAACAATATTCTGATGACATTTCTAAAATGGCAAGTACTGTTAATCTATCCTTAGTCCATTTTGTGTTCTACTACTCAATTATCCACATATATACATATACTGAGGAAGTACTATAAAAATCAGAATGAATATTTTCATGAAGGAGTTTTCTAGAACAAAAACAGATAAATAAATAATAATTATGCATTGTTACTAAGCAAAATATGTCACTTCCTTCAGACACAAACAAATTTAGGGTAGATAAATTAAAATACATAACATACATGTAAGAAATTGTACTTTTTAATTTTTTAAATGCAATTATTTTAATAAAAGATCACAAATAAACATTAAACAAAGGTTTTTTGGGATATGACATAAGTCACCCAAACAACAGGAAAAATCACAGGTTAATTAGGAAAGACTATAAAAGCTGGACTTAAAGATAGTTTAGGAAGAAAAAACTCATAAATCAAGAAGAAAAAATATAAATTAGAGAACAGGAAAGATACATGGATATACTAAGGACACATTTCTACACTGTAAGAAAATAAAGGCACTAGAATTTGATGCATATATCTCATTATACAAAATCCTAAACCAGCTGAATCCCCTCCCAGCCTTTATCCAGGTACACCTTCCTCTCTTCCC